TCTCCTTGCATGCAGATTCCACCACTTCTCCGGGCAGCCTTTCCCAGTGCTTAACTCCCCTCTTGGGGAAGAATTGTTTACCTCCTTCCATCCAGGATTTCACAGCTCATGCCTATTCCCTCTCATCCTTTCACTTTGAGAAAACTCTGACAACATCTTCTCCATAAGCTCCTTCAAGCAGTAGGTGGATGCTAGATGTGTGTCCCCAAGCTTTTTCTTCTGTAGGCTAAACATCCCAAATTCCCTGAGCCTCATCATCTGTCATGAGCTCCAGTCCCCTAATTACCCCTGTAGCCCTCTGGTGGACTCTCTCCAGTTTCCATTTGCATACTCTATCCATCTTTTACATGGTCTGTCATGCAGAACTTGTCACTTAAGTTCTTCCTCCAAATAGGCTTTGATTCTGGTAATGACATGCAGATTAACAGAAAGGATTAACACCTCACCCATGTGTATGTGTACAAAGACGCCTGGAGTAGAAAACAGATTCTAAAATTTAAAAGACCAAAACTAGTTTTTGTTTTTCCTGCTTATTAGCCTTGAAGCTATGTGAGAAAAAAAAAGGAAAATGAGGAAGCCCTCAGAAAATCTATTCTATGTTCATGAAAATATTAGTAGGTTACATTTTAAAATGCATTAAATGAACTTACAGGAATCCACATTTTATACGTTAGTTCCAAATAATATATTTCAAATTATTCTGTTCTTTACTAACAGCCTCAAGTCTCAGAAATTTATGAGGTTTCTCTGTTTTAGATTAATTTAAAAACAATTTTGAAATATTTCAGTTCCTGTAATGAATGGTATTGCTTCACCGTGTTTCGGTGAAAAAATTAAAATCCCACTCAATGACTTGAAACCTCATTCATTTTCATCTTCTACCTGAGTGTTGTTTCTAAAACCGTCATTATACTGCCTCCTTTTCAAAGACAGCATTTTAGAGAACCCACTGAACACCAACACCTCACAAACACCTCCCTGCGATGTTGTAAGAATTTCTCAGTGTATATTCCTATGTCTCATGATGTAAAGCACCAGAAGAGAGAGAGAAGAGCAATTATGCTAACTGCTTGTCAGCGTTAAGATCTTGCACTCAGTGTTAGTGAGTCATTACCCCTACAAACTGTCAGCCAGGCTGCATCAGTGAGACAAATAACGTTATGAGAGGCTATTTTAAATATATATCTTGAAATAAGGCTACAAATTAATAGAGGCCAGAACAGTTTCCCTTTTCTCTCTTATATCCACTGAAAAGATAGAAATACTGTGTGAGAAACATCAAACCAGGCATTGAAAGTACTGCCTTTCACCACAGGAGTTCAAAAGTGATTCTCTCAACAAAGTACACTAATGGAAATAAAATCTAGAGTGTCCAGTCCTATTAAACACAGCCCTACGAAACCGCACTTCATAAAGGTGTGGTTCGTAACACGCATAAACATCTACACCTGCAGGCAAACACACATTATATATTGCAAACCCAAGCCAAGCCTAAGTATGACTCATATGCAATAAATCATATGAAATTGTAAAGGCCCTGGGAGTACTGACTGGCCTTCCTGGCCCTGACCAACATCACCTGGGCCTCCACCTGCAGCCTCTGCCCGTGGCCCAGGAGCTCCATTTCAGCTTAGTCCCTGCCCTGAGCTGTGATGTAGGAGCTGGATGTGGACCCTGTTGATCCTGGCCTGACTTCCCATGCTCACCTCGGACCTGCCTAGCAATTGCTGGACCTGACCCTGAGCTGTGGATTGACCTCCTGGCTTGCCCTCAGACCTGCCTCATCACCACAAACTTGGCTGGTGTTCTGTACTCTTGCTTGACCCTGGCTGGCAGCAATGGGTTTGCCCAGCTCACCCTGTGCTCTGGGACAGGGCCCTGACTGGTGAAGCCCCTGCCCTTCTGGGAGGTGTCATCACCCCTGGCTTCCCATCCCTTTGGGTGCAGCCAGCCTTTGCTGTGCCTTAATAGAAACAGACAGTGGTGTGGGTACAGCATGTCTGACTTATACATATGCCCTGTTTCACCAAATACTAATGTACGCTGGTCTCACTTGAAAACAATTTATTTGGTGTTTCTCTTGAGTTCTTTGGCATAATTGTTGAGTGGTAATTCAATATAGTATCTACTGATACAATCAAAATGGTATTCTCAAAAAGGCTATTCAATGACACACAAAAAAACCCAACTGAAAACAACACTTGGTTACATTTGTATGAGACTACTTTCAAATAAAATAAGAGGAAAACCATGCAATAATTTGGAACATAAATTGTACACCTTTCAAAAACAATTATAAAAGACATGATGTCCATGATCTGGACAAATTTGCAAATTTGATCTGGAGCCCTAAGCATTTAGAAGCACATCCTACGCTCTGCACTTGTATAAAAGTAGCTTGTGTTACTTCTCACTGAAGTAAATTAAATTTTTCTTGTTAAAGAGATCTAGAATCAAGGGTCATGCTACAACCTTTCACAGACTAATAAAGGCTTTGATCAAACTCGACGTTTTTTACAGTGCACCTGCTCCTACTCTTTCAGTGTATCCCAATCCTCTAAAAATAGCCAACAATATGACTTCCTCCCTGAATACTAACAACGTGGATGATCTTCTGCATCTTCTTGGCAAAACAACAGATATTTAAAAACAGACTAAAGTACATCCCCTTTTTAACTAAAGTTAGCAAACAAAGTATGCTACCAGTCATACATGTGATAATAAGGATGCGCACCTCCTTGTCTTTTTGGTTGGAAAAATGGTGACACGAGGTAAACAACATACTATGGGGTTGAGAGGATAAAGGCTAAAGAAATTGATATAAGAAGATCTGATGAGCTAATGGTTCATTGGAGATCAAAAATAGCATTAACATTCATAGAATATTTCACTTCTGTTTAGTGAGACATTGGTCCATTTGTTATTAATCTAGACCTCCAATACACTACTTCGAGTGGCGTACATGGCTTAACTAATTTGTAGACTTACTTATATCAAAACATAAATATGACAGCACATATTTATATACATATAACACATTATGTACAATGTCCTTCATTATTCTATAACAACACAATTTATCAATGAAAGATGGTTGTTGCTGCTTTCCATCTTGCTGAGCTCCAGCATATTAGAAACACAACTCCTACAAACCACAAAAAGGAAGCATCTGGCACAGATTTCCAGATATTTTTGCTTCTCTCAGTTGTCAGGTTCTCAATCATTTTTGCAAGAACTTCAGAAGAGCCAGGAAACCAAAATGACTTACTGATGTCTTTCCACAGAAATTACTAGCGTTTAGCAAAGGATACACATTTACAGAAATCATCAGCTAGCACTATGTCTGTTCTAACTACTGACAAGCAGCATCCTTACCCTTTTGAGTTCACGTACTGACAAGTGTCCAGTAACAGGCCCTCCCGATTCTGGCAGGCACTTCCTATGCCTGTAGGAAAAAGCAACCAACAGTAGAAACCTGGGCCCTTACAAATGTGCTCAGGAAACTGAGAGCTCAGGTCTCTCCTGAATAAAGAAGGCCTTGATGCCTGCTATGAGTTATGCTGTTTGATTACGGTCTGCATACATCCTTCTTGCAGCTGAGGCCTAAGCACAGGGAACAGTGTTAGCCCTCTTCTACAATGTCACCATGAGCCTAGAAGCTATCACATCAGCCCCACATCATTGGAGACTGTCCAGTCTGGAGTGATACTGCTCCCAGATACCTGGCATTGGTTGCTCCGCACTCACAAGCTGTCTCACTGGAACTAATTTGGAAATACTTTTGCCCATATTCTCAACAGATAGTAAAATGTGCATTGTGTACTATCAGTTATAAAGTCTACTGACTCACTGCACACAGCTCATGGAGGCAGAGGTGGAAACTTAGCAATGACCGCTCTTACACGACCTCCCCTGCAATAGTACCTTAAGCAGATTTTACATCTAACCATCCAGGCCTGCCTTTACTGTAAAACATTCTTCTTAAGACTACCTTAAAAGTTTTGCAGCATCTTCAGCCAGTATGCAAGCCAAGTACCCAGCAGAATAAGGCTAGCCCTCTGAACACACATCACCTGTTAAAGTCCTGGTATGGACTCTCCATTTGCTTTTTCCGAAAAAAGGTGTTGGTGATGGATCTTGAATACCTTCACTTAAAATAGCTGCAGGTATTTGTCACACAGAAAAGACAGTTAAGGTCATCTGGGACACACATGGTGTACATCTACATGCACTTTTTGTGACAACAGAAATGTGTCAGTGAAGTTGCTATTCTCTGACCCTTAACAGTTCATAGAAGTTTGAGTCTGGTGACCTTCAAAGAAAAATACACCTATCTTCTTTACTACTTGATGAACTAATTTGTATTTCAAATTCTCTTAAATGAAGCACCCATCTGTCAGGATGACAGGCACTGTACAGAACTTGCAAAGAGAAAAAGAACTATATAAAGCAATCAGAGAAGCCTTTTATTCAGCTGCTACAAGAAATGACAGATAGTCTCATTATGCAATTCCCCTAGCTCCTCTTAACATACCTGACCCCTAGAACTGTATCACATGATTCATCAGTATTGTAGTTTCAAATATTTTTGAAAAACAGTGCAGTAATATCTTCTCACATTGATCTTGCAGTATTGGTCTTGGGCACGAAGAACTGACGGTTCCCAAAGCGCACATGTACATCTAACACCTCATTCAATGTTGACAACAAAAGAGTGTGCAAACACAATCTATATAGCATTATCAACTTCCTTTATCATAAAATATTTTCATAGAACAAATGAAAGAAAACATGTATTTGACAACACAGATAATTATAATTCCTTCTTATATTCAGGTGGAAATTGTGCACAACCCTGTTCAAAAGACTTTGCATATTCCATTAAGTAACTTCCAGTAATCCAGTAAGTGTTTTTGCATTAGGAAACTGGATTATACAGTGATGAATAAGGGGATAGTGTGAAAACAGCAAACCAGACCCAGACACGGGTGTGACTTTACCTGTTGCCTCTTCTCAAATTCTAACTTGATACGGGATTTGATGCAGTTGCACGTGTCCTGATACGTCTGCTGCAGTGCAAGCTCCATGAGGTGTTTGTGGTATGCTCCTGCCAAGTTTCCGCAGATAAAAATGATTACATTTGCCAATATCTAAAGGGGTTAAAAAGAAAAAAGAAAAGAAAAAAAAAAAAAAAGAAGTGTCAGGGAATTTATATAAATAAAGTATCAGAACATAATCCTAGCCTGAAATGAAAGATCGCTGCAGTTATGCATTTTGCTTGTGTTTGACTTCTAACAAAGGTTCACCTTTCCAAAAGATTTCACAATTAGTAGCAAAATCCCATGCAATAATACCATTTTCATTTAGGATTAAATAAGAATGATAGTGAACATGTTTGCCTATTCAATGAGGTATACATTTTCTGAAAAAGAAATTCAGCTCATGTTATACATCCACTGCTGAGTATTAATTAGGTGGGATCATGATCTGCTGATGTAAAACAATAGCTAAGGCTCCTAACAACAACACCAGAAACCATGTTATTGCCATGCTTTCTTGGCAAGACATTTTCTTTCTCAGTGCCATATGATTAAGGGGTTAAAAGACTCACCTACATAAACAGCCTGAGCTGCATTTTATCTCAGCCTGACCCACTACTATCTATCACTAGGCTATAAATATTAACCATGGTGATGGTAAGCAACGTTTAAGTAGTGAGATCTGACATCTCTCTACTAGAACACACTTTCCACTGCTACCAAAACACTGCATTTTGCTAACTTACAGCATAAGATACTCACTGTACACAACACATGAACATGAGAAATAAGTTCACTTAAAGAATCCAGTTTTATTTGTTAATTTTCTGGGACATTTCAGAGAAATCCAAAAGAGGAGAGAGGCAGGCCTTTTCTGTGCTTGAACTTCAAAAAGGATAGAATACTGCGTGGTGATGCTAGCACTTGCAACTGTCCCCAGTTTATTGCTGCAAAAAGAGGTGCATTTAGACACATTTACCCATCCTAGCTCTCTCAGAGCAGAAGAAACACAGTAGAGTAACGAAACCAATTCTGAATTCAATAAAAAAGTTAATATTAAAAGGGAACTGAAGTTCAGATACAGCTGCAATCTTATCAGAGTGGGTCTGTATCTGTAATGCCCTAGTGTATCATATGGCCTGGATTACAAGTACTACATGATGTCGTACTGCTCATGGTCTGGAAGGGAAGGAGGAAGAAAGGAGGTTAAAATTCCGTTAATTCCCCACAGTTAATCTAATCATGAGGTTTAAGATAGATTTCCAGCCAGTTCATGTTTGGTTTTGGTGCACCTACATACCAGGCAATTCTTTGTGGACTGCTAGTAGTGAAAGAGCCAGAGATGTCATTACAAAAAGGCAGACAATATGTTACAGTGGTTCAGAGAAAAGATAGAAATTCTCCTATTAATAGAAATCTACCTCCTTGAGGAATACATTTTATTCACAAAAAAATACATGATGTTTTAATGCTCCTTTTATAAATGCCTACTTTAAAATGAGAGTTTTAAAAAAATGCTTTTATTTTCCTCACAGATTATAACATCATTACAGGCAATACCTTCTCCTCCCTCTTTGTCATGTCTGACATCTCATGGTTCCACAAAGCTAAAAGCAGGAACTATACAACTTTGCCACAAAAAGGATTGATGTTTTAAATTTGAT